TGGGCGGGCTTGGTGAGCAGCTGTGTGGGGCTTAGTTGCTGGCTAGGGTTAAACCACAACAGCAAGGAATTGCATTTTTTTTAAAAAACAGTTGATTTTAGAAAATTCATAGAGGACATTGGTTTGTGTATACCATCTTGTGATAAAAGCTTTCGCTTGCAGTGTAGCCTGAAAAGGATGGTACCTCCTGGTAGCCTATCTCTAATTAGCATGGAGGAGGGGAAAAAAAAGGGACCTTTTAGTAATTCAGTAATTTGGAAAAGTAATTAATTGACTAAACAGTATGGAATGGAATACGCCCATTGTTCGTATACTTCAATTTCCTATTAGAGGTCTCCAGATACTGAAATCCTCTAATTTACTTAGAGTGGGCTCATTTGTGCGTTGTTTACCTCATGCTCAGCATGAAGGGATCCTGCAGTGAAAGGTAAACTTTAGTGTAATACATGATTTTTGCAATCACATTGAAATTTTGGCTCTGTAAGGAATATGTATTAAGAACAATGATAGTAAGGCAGAATCTTTAATATATTCCATTTAAGAGGTTTGTGTTCTCCAAAGTCAGGGTATTGATTCAGCTCATATTTTATAAAAGTATTACTCTCTTCTTTCATCTTGCATCTTTCTTGCACTGTTCTTCGTAAGAAATAGCGCTTCAGTTTTCCTTTCTAGTGTGCTTGTAGTACTGTGCACCACTAGTATGTAAGGTTTTTCCACATAGGTGACAAAGTCTTCTTTTTGGACGAAGGCAATTACTCCATTCTTCCCCCTGCTAAAACGCCAAGCCTTTTTTTTTTTTTTTTCCCCCCCCTGTAATGGCAACTTGCTTTGTTATAGAAGGACCCAGATATGCTTTAGTGGATTTGATAAACTTCAATTTGTAATGTCAAAAAATATCTACGTTATTGCTTGCTTTACTTTACTGTATTTCTCCTTATTTTGTGACCGTCAGAGTTTCTTTTCACTTTTCAGAAAACAGGGCAGTACTTGAAGGCTTGACAAATGCATCCCAGGTTGAAAAACTGCTGCATTCCTCCTCCTCTTCCTCCTTTAGAAAATTGACTTCTTTAAAGAGGTAATGTTGAATGTTGCACTTTCTGTAGAAAACTTTTTTTTCCCCAGGCAAAGTGAACTAAAACTCAACTTCTTCTGTAGCATGTCCTGTGGTGTTTTAAATTAACTTATATCCATGTTTCATTCTGATGACTGATGTCTGTTCCCCTCTCTATTGAAAAGGATGTCTTTGGAAACCTTTGTTTGCAGAGATCTATTTTGTTGTGTTGTGTTGTTTTATAGAATTATTTGTCAGCGCTTCTGCTGAAGTAAGTCACCCAAGTGTTACTTGAATTTAAATTAATCTAATGTTATTTCTGAATCTGATATCTTTTAGGATATTTAAACATGCTTTAGAAATCTGAGGCAGTTCCTTACTCACAGGACTTTGTATTCTCTGAATGACTTGCTGCCAAGGGCCATGCTAAATTCTGTATGTAGCCCTGTTCATACAAAGTTGCTAACATTGAACTTACAGTTTCCCAACACAATTTTTGGTACCTTACTTCACTTCATTTTCCGTTTAACAAATACTGATCTGTTCTTAAATACAAATCTTCTTTCAGAAATCAAAACAAGTATGTTCTGAGACCAGAGTAGGTGATTCCAATCATACAGTCTGGCTATTTAAAGGCCATTTATCATAGGACTTCCATGATGTAACCTATATATCAAACCTGTAAGTTTTGGTTGAGCCTAAATAATTTTCAAAACATCTGAAAGAAAACTGTAAAAAAGTAAATAATTAACTTCATGTTTACCTGCCTTTTCCTTATAAAATTTACAATAAATTCTGCAAACAGGAGCACTTACTATTTTCTTGACATTACTTGTATGAAGTTGATGGGCCTAAGTGTTTATGGGATTAAAGATGATTGTAGCAGTCTTCATCTTGTTATCATCTGGTTGTGGAAGTGTTTCTCTCCCCCCCCCCCCCCCCCCATCCCAGGCTAAAAGAACTTCAGAAAAAGTTGGCTGTATTGAAGGAAAAAATATTAATTAAAAAAAAAAAAAGGGGGCTTTGAAGCTGATGGGTATTTGTAGTTTTTAGGAAAAATGTGGTGAAGATATATGACAGCGTGTGACAGCTTTGTTGTGTATAATTGTTATAAAGCAATATCAACTTTAAAAAAAAAAAAAAAGTGACCAAAGTATCTCTTAAAATACAGTGTACCTTCACAGATTTTCTGTTTCTTGTTTCTGTTCAGGCAGCTGTTAACCTGCAGGTCCTGACAAAAATAAACTTTTGATGAAACCTTAACTAAGAATCACTGTCTTCATATGTCTAGTATGGCCTCAAAGAGCTCTTATATTTTACAGTCTCCTCAATTTATCCCTTTTCAGGTCACTATTCATAGGCTTTAGTCTCTAGTATTAGGCTATAGCTTCATTTCACTTCCTGTTGTGGGACCTTAATGACTTGCAGCTATTGCCAATCTGTACTGAGATCACGCAGAAAGACAAAATGACCTTTGTTGCTTAGACCTATTTAAACATCAAGCAAAGGTGTCTAATGATGCTGTGTGTTTTAAACATTCTTGCTATTGCCTTGAGAATTGAATTTATGAATTTAAGATGTTAGAATATGACTGTTGTATATAAAATGGAAAATAATAACAAGTTGTCCTTGCAAGTTTTCTTTTTTTTTTTTTTTTGTTTCTGAGAATTGCAACATACTTGTAGGAGAGCTAAATCTTGCAGTTTGAACGAGAAGCCTCAAAATTCTTTAAGAACAAGCTTTAAGGAGTAAAGTTCTGCTATTAGGATTTCTAATAACTGGTTTTATGAAACTGCTTTACTTCGAGCAGTATCTAGAACTGTCATTACAATGTCTCACATGATTTGTTCCATGATGCTCTTTACTTTGCTCCACTTGTCTTTTCTTTGTACTATATTTGGTAAGAGAGCAAGAATGGGATGATCTGTTTGTCTTAAATAATGTACATTTTGGCCTGAAGCACTGAATCCTCCTTTTTCCTCCTCCCCACATTAATGTGCAGTATTTTTGACTGAAAGTCTGAAGAGAACAGTTTAGTCATTGTTAGAAAATGGGACCAGTTGTCCAAAATGCAATTTTTCCTATTGTTTGATATTATATAATTCTATTGGAAATATGTTAACAGCTTTTCATTGGGGTAGGATTTTACAAAACTAAGTTTTGCTGCTAGAACTCTTATTTAATTTCTTTTTTCCTTTCTCTTCTAAAGATAAGAGAGAAGCAAAAGTAAGAAAATGCTGGGATCAGAACGAGGTGTTGTGGAAGAATGGCTGTCAGAATTCAAGGTGAGCTGAGAAGATGAATGATAGCTGTATCATTGGCTTTATGCCACATAACATAGTGGTTGTTTTTTTTAAATATCCAATAATTAACATTTTAAATATATATTACTTGATCTTTCAACTTTTTATAATGCATAAAGGATGCAAAGGTCTATGTAAACGAGTCAGCTGGTACATAATATGCAATGCATAGTTCTAATAGTTTATTTTTATTGTTTATTATTGTAGAGCAGGAGTTTAAAAAAATATTAAAGAAAAATATTTGGCTGGTTTTTTTTCCTATGGTCTGCATAAAATGAATCGTTTTGTCATGAAGAATCTGAAGTATGTTTAAGCTATTTTGCATGTTGATAGTTATGCTGAGTGAAATACAAGATAATGCATAAACAAGAAAACTGGATTTCATGACTGATATGAAATTAATCTGTTATTTAAATTAAGAATTAGTAATTCCTCACATCATTGATGATACACAATAAATCATTACGTGCTGTTGTTGGAAATTTGTTGAGGAGCCAAGGATGCAAAATCCACGGATGTGGTTGCTTGGTGGGACGCGAGGCTGTCCATGCTCATTGTAGATTATCCACGTTTCTTGAATAATTCATGTTGATTTGATAAAGACTTTGAAAAGTGCCTGTTAAATACAGAGTATCAAGGAAGAGAGTCCTCGAGTCCTTATATCAAGCTGGAGCAAATGATTTTATGAAAGATAAATCTGAAACTGCTTTTGGATTTAACCCGAAAGTTGGTATGTGCCCCCAAATGCTATTCGTATGGAGAAGAACTGATACTGAATGAACTAGGTTACAAATCTGAAAATTTACTGAACTTCAGGAATTTTTCTTGATGTTGGGATGAGACTGAATCCTTTTGTGGAGATCTTTAATACTTGGAAGCATTGATTTATCAGAGGAATGTTTTTTTTTCTTTTTCTTTAGGCATTACCTGAAACACAAATTACCAGCTATGCAGCTACATTGCACCGAAAAAAAACACTGGTACCAGCTCTTTATAAGGTCATTCAAGACCCAAATAATGAGGTAGGAGACTTTAAAAAATATTTTTGTTCACATTCTTATATCTTCCACCTCTACAACTAAAACTAGAGTAATTGAGAAGTGGAGATGGATAGGAAGATTCTTCGATTCTTTTTTCTAATGTAGTCTAACATGGATATCATCCCGCTTTTTACTCTCTTGTTTTTTGACAGTTACTTTAAATTACTTAACTGACAGTTGCTTACCTTTCTGGTAAGACACAAACTTCATCTGCTCCCAAAAATACAGTTTATGCTGTTTGCTAGATTTTACTTGCCACAGCTGACTGTTACACTTGATTTGCCATGAGTTTGTTGTTGGTTTTTTTCCCCCCATAAACCACCTTTCAGTCATAACAGAGACAAAGTAGGGCTTACATTGAAGCTCAGTAAGACCAATGTGCTTCTCGCCTTGTGGCTTATTAGGGGGGAAGATGGAGTCAGTTTATTAAATCCTATTAAAATAACCAGATCTTCTTTTGCTTATAGTAGTATCATGTTTGTGTAATTTGGTTTACACTGCTGTAAACAAGAGCAGAAGCAGGGCCCCAAAATATAAATATACACAATGAAAACTTAGCTTACCCTTGTACATAATTCATTTTGCAAATGACGTTAAACTGAGCTTTCTGTTCCATTGGTTTCTGCTATGAGTATTTCTGGGAAAGCGTGTGAAATACAACTTCTGAATAAATTGTGCAAGCGTACCATTCTCTACTGTGTAAACTACTTCAGATAAAATGCTTCAAAATATTTGATTTATCATCTGTGATCTCTTGTATATTTAAAAATTAAATGGCAAGTGTACACAGCAAGGAAGTTCTTTATTTTCCTAAGCACAGCTCAGCTGCTTTTGGAAGCTGAATGCTTGTTTGAGCTTAAAGGAGATTGCATAATGCTCATGTAATAAAAAAAAATAAAAATAAAAATGCTTCATAGCTGTCAACTTCATTTCAGTATTACAAATAACTTGCATAGTGACCTCTTTCTTTGTATTGAAGCTACCATTACTCACGTTCTCTCCAACCTGAAGCCACCATTGCTGCTGTTGTCTTTTAGTATGTATGTATTTGTGTGTGTGTATACTGAAAATGTAAAAGCTTTCCTTTCCTTTAAGAATAAGCATTTGATTTTTTTTTTTTTTTTAATGATGCAAAGAACCAGATTTGCAAAAAGAGTATCTTCTTAAGGGTGTGACAATGATCTTACATTATTGCACACTGATGCTTGTCAAATACTACTCTTTGGAACTGCTGTTGCTGTTTGGGCCTGATTATGATATTAGGTATAAGATAAGCAATCGCAGACTCAAAGATGACAAACTTCAGGTTCTGCTTGTTAAGGCAGTATGTATTTCCTTGTTGCATTTCTTCCAAACTTATTTGTGTGTAAGGAGTATAACCATAGTAAATTCATTACTTTGCATAATTCTGTGATATTCTTTGGCTCTAAGTGAGGGGATTTTAAAATATGCTTTATAGGGCATTATTTGTTAGAAGAACAACTGATTGCTTATGAAGATAAAGCTTATGTGGTAGACTATCATAAAAATGTCCAACTTAATCATAAAGTTGACCAATTTTTAAAACTTCCTGGAAGGGGCAAACTGTTTAGGGCAAACATGAATTTTTCTAGAATCACATAATTCTATCTTGATAAGACTAGGATTATTAATGTAACATGAAATCAGCATGTTTAGGAACCAAAACAAACAACCAAGGTGTTTCTCTTTTGTGGCAGCTGTCTACCAGTTTGAGAGCTATCAAATGAAGGCATACTTGCATACTGTCAAGTTACATGCAATTGTTACCATTTACCTTTTAGGAAATTCCCTGACTTTTTTTAATATGGAGAAGATAATGACTGGAACAGAAAGTTACATAAAGAGTAGAGAGTGATCTTGCTCATAAACAGCTTATTTAACTGAATAATGTATTAATTTTTGCATAATATTTTAATTCTAAATTAAAGTGCTTTTGAAGTACTTTTTTTAGATTGTTTTATAATTTTTGGAGTTAGTTTATAGTTGTAGACATAAATGCTCTATGGATTTTATGGAAGTTAATGCAGTACTGAAATTTAAACATTGAATATTCATGTGGAACTATTTACGTTTAACTTGGAAATCTCAGCCCTGAAACAAAATGAGATCACCTCTGCAATGCCAAGCACTTCCCAGACCCAGTACTCTTCAGATAATACTCTTCAAATAATAACTAATTTCACCCATTATGTTATAGTTAAGCCTAAAATGAGTGCATTATTTTCTACCACGATTGAATTCTTCAAAAAGGCAAGCATTTCCAATCTTTGTCATGCACTTTACAATATATTATATTTAACTTAAAGGTATGGCTCTTAAGATCTGGCAAACTTATAAAATAAGCCAAACTAAAGCTATTCATCAGCTTCCTTAAAACATGACTAGTCTGCATCTCTGTGAGGTGTAAAAATGAAGTCTGCAAATTATATCATTGTTACTTACTATATTTAAGCCAGTAAAAATTTCATTTGTAATTGTTTGTTATGCTAATTGCTGTTTATGCTAATAGGAAAGCTCTTCTAATATAAGTTTTTAGTTTGTCGGAAAAGAGATACGGTTATAAGAGACTTTTTACTTTGGATTTTTTGGCTGACTGCTGTGCTACTCAGTTTCCTTTGACTTCGGACTGAAAGATCTTTTGGAATTAAAAAAGTGGGTGCCAGTTCATGTATACACCCACTACTGGTAACAAAAGCTCCATTTCCTCTGTTTATCCAGTGTCTTCTCAATATTTACATTCAGAGAATTAATTGGAAGAGGCTGGTTCTCTGAAAAGCCAGATAACTAGGATGCAAGGAAAACATTTGTTCTTTTTTACAGTGTCAAGTTTTGTGTTTCCAGGTGGGAGACGATCATACTATACTTCGATAGGAAAAACTTGGGTGTTAGCGCCTTTGAAAATATTTGTGTTGTAGCATCTTTGTGATGCCAGCTTTTTCTTGTGGACTTAAAGCTCTGAACACACCAAAAGTGCTATAGTAGTTGCTACAAAGAACTTTCAGGTTTTCACCTAAGTAATTCACAGTTGTTAAACCTTTTGCGCAACTAATATGACAACTACTAGAAATGAGGAGTATTTACATGCTTGCAGCACCAGTGACTGGGTGTTGCTTGTATCTTTCTAGGGAGCATGGTTTCACTTAAAAGACTAATTCTATAAAATTTTCATTTGAAAGAAAGTAGAATAAACTCAGTAACTGCTCTGGTTGAGTCTCATCTGACTTTAGGTAAAGTAAATTATTCTTTTCCACTGTTTTTAATGGGACTTGGGTTAGACTGGCTAATTTCAAATAGGAAACAGCTTTGGGCTGCTGTCATGTCTAATCTAATAGAAGTACTATTTATAGCAATGCTGCTGTATATATCTGGTTTCTGATAATATTTGTTTAGCTTTTCTTGCACCTGTTATCTCCTTGCAGATATGCTTGTATTTATTGTTTCCAGAGATTTCTTCTTTTTCTTCTTTATGCTAGCTTCTTGCTCATATTTTCTTTTAAAGAAAACCTACAAATTTATTCAGTGATCTCTGAATTATTTATTAACCACTTTTTTTTTATTTGAACATCTGAAATGTGCTAGGCCTTTCATAAAACAATAATACAGTTCTGTCTCTGAGGATTTGAACATTTACTGTAACAGATGGTTTTAATAATTAGTATCACTTTTAGATAGGAGTTTCTACTAAGTAAATATCAAGAAAGAATATACTTATGAATCTTTTGAACATAAAGTGCTATATATGTATGAAATACTGGAATAAATATATTAGGTAAAATAGTATATGCTCAACTTGACAGAGAAAGCCCTAGCATTGTTTTATTAAAATGATTGCAATAGAAGCTTTATGGGCTTCTAATTTCATTTAGATCCCAAAACAAAAATTAAGTGTTGAGGTATTTTACCTATATGGCTTGTAAAAATCTGTGTGCTCCAAATTACTGGACTTCTCTCATTCTGTATCAATGTTGTCAGTGTCAGCTTTCTTCCCTCCCTCTCTTGTGGAGTCTCTCTCTGCTTCTGTTGTAAAAAGAGCCTTTTAGCTTAGAGTAACTAGGCTGTCAATCAGAAGCCTTGTTACACAAGGTATTTATACCAGAGCCTTGTATAAAAGAGATTTGTCTGATAGCAAGGTTTTATTTTACGTAGATGTCATGTTATGGCTTACGTAATCAGTGGTTTAAAAATTTTATGCTTCATTGACCAAAATACTGTGTGTTAGAAATGAAAGAAATGTGTTCACCCTTTCTTGGGTGATGCTCTCTTAAGGCAGCTATCTGGATAGAAAATTCTGTCGAATTTATGTTTTGTGTTTGTGATATACTAGAGTAAAATATCTAAGTCTAAATACGTGTATGTGAAGTTGTACAGTCATGCAGGTTTATGCCATTGCACATTTATCAAACATTCAAACGAATCACTTGTAGAAATCTCTGTCCCTCTGCTGATAGCAAGGGACTTCTTCAAAGTTTTTTAAGAGGATGGATGGTTCACAACAAACCACAGAAGTACATCTTCATACAGCATAGTAAAAGAGTGACAGTGAATTCTACAGGAAATTCTGGGTACTAAGATGTTTATGGATGAATAAACAAATTAATGAAAGAAGAATGCATCAAGGTCTATGAAACATACTGCTAATGCTCTGAAAATCCTAAGGTGCATATCTCTGGGAGCGAGAGTGTGTACTGGAAGAGGAGTCATATGTACCATCTCTGATCTGCTTTGCACTGGGTATTTCCTATTTATGCCTTTTTGTCTCACCAGTACAGCTGCTATTGTGTTGGTCAAATGTAGGGGTTTTATTGCTCTAAAAAATGATACGTATAATTTAATGTTTAAAGTTTAATATTATTGTGTATGTATATGAGAGCTGTATAAAGCATGTACGGTTAGAAACAAAACTTATTTGAGATTCTGGCCTCTGTTTTCTGACTCTGTAACTCTTCTATATGAATATAGATGCTTTAGGTTACATGGATGGCTCTATCTTTTTGGACGTTGAATCCCATGAGTATTTTCCTTAGGTCAGATCATCCCATTTCTTAGAATGTAATACTAGATACTGGTCACAGACCTTATCAAAATTCCTCTCTGAATTTTTTTTTTCAGTAGTTTTTGACTTTGGTATTAGTCGTGGGAAAGGGGGTGACAATTTGATGTGGTTCTTTTTTTTTTTTTTTCCTTTTTCCTTTTTTTTTTCCCCTGTTCATGGGGATGCATCTTAACTGTTGGTTTGGCATTGTAGACTCTTAAAATGGCAGTGTTTTTCTCGTGCTTATATCACACTGACTTGACAAAGGCCTTGTTTGATTCTTGTACTGAAACCCGAAGGGCAGCTCAAGATGGAAAAATCAGTTTGCATTGTAATGAACAAATGCACGCTTGTTGCATTTGAGACTAAAAAGCTGTAGGTAAGAAATTAATTCATATTTCTGTCAATAGACTTGTCATTAGCAGCTGTCGTTAGCAGCTAATCTTTAATCTTTGTACTTTTATAAACCTTGCAGCTGCACCATTAAAGTTTTATGGTGCACATAGTTCAAGCCACATGTCTGTCACATGCCTTAAATTAGTACCTATATGCAAAATAAATCTCATACTGACAGCCCTAGAGAATAATGTTCTCAGAGTACAAGATGGTAGTGGCTGCAGTAAGGCCACATTTTGCAATACTGCATACCAGTGCCCCTCAGGTCTGTCCTTATAGATCTCCTTAAAAGGAATGCAAGTACCATTTTGGTTCATTTATTCCTTGCCATCAAGGAATGTCATTTTTACTGGCTGCAGTGGCTATATGATATAGCCCCTATATTTGCTATTTCGTTCTCCCTTATTAGAGAAGCCTAACTGTAATTCATTAGCCTTTTTGCCTTTCCACAGCTCCTGGAGCCTGTTTGCCACCAGCTCTTTGAACTTTATCGTAGTTCTGAAGTTCGGCTCAAGAGATTCACATTGCAATTTTTGCCAGAGTTGATCTGGGTATATCTGCGTCTTACTGCCAGCAGGGATAGGCAGAGTAATGGTTGCATTGAAGCATTGCTGCTTGGCATTTACAACTTGGTAAGTGACATGAGCGGGAATGGCTGAGGAAAGCTTTGATCTGAGGTTTTGCATCATTGACCACTAGGAGTAAAGTAAATTATTGGAACAACATATTTAAAATTATAATATGCTTACATGAAAGCGTATTTAATCTGGAGAAAAGCATAACGTAATGAAGGTTTAGTAAGAATGTGTTTGCAAAAATATTTTTAATAGGAATCTTTTTGGGACAAACATTTTAACTAAAAAGGATCATTTCGTAGGCTTTCTTGAACTGTTATATACTTGCATTTGTAAGGAAATTAAGTAGCCCTCCTTAATGTTGAAAAATACAACTTTCTGTGGAGATGATGGTCAGGCCAATGTGCTTGGTCAATCTTCATGTGTCACTTCCTCTCACCTCCCTGCTTACTCTGAATATGTCTTTTTAAGGGTAATTTGAAGCTGAAACCACTCTGCATGCTAGCACTTAGATACATGCATGTGTATATTTGAGGCAGATAGTTGTCTTGAGTGGAACTGTGATTTTAAGAATAAGTAAAAGTAACTGGAGATGATTAAGTTTGGCTGTTGGATGTATAAGTAAGTTTTTTTTATAGCCTTACCTTAGCTAGGAAATGTTTACTCTTGTAACGTTATGAGGCTGTTTGATAAATTTAGCAATACTGCCAAGATGGGCATTCTCTAATGGAAATTTCTGTTTTATAGGACTTTAAAACATGTCATACTGAAACATTGCCCTTCTCTCTTACTATCATAGTAAACTCCTCCTTTAAATTGTGTATTATGTTTCTACATGATGAGACACAGAACAGTCAAATTGCGATTCTTAATACAATTTTTTTTGTTATGTGTCTGTAGATCAGCTCTAACAACTGGAAGATCCATTTATTTTAGATTTATTCTGATAGAAAAAATATTGGAAACTGCGTGCTGATTTTTGGTACTGTTTGCTGGGTTGAAGTAGCATGTTGATCTTTGTCGACTGTTTTCTCATAAAGGTCCTTTTGCAGTTCCTTTGAAAGTCATGTTGATGATTCATATTTTTTAAGGACAGTAATTTCTTCATTCTGTCCAGATTCAGGAAGCAAGAGGCCTCAAAATGGACAGCGGCTCCCACTATTTTTTTTTTCTTTGGTTAAGTTGTTGATATTTTTCTGCACATATACCGAGACTGAAGGAGTGAAGTTATTTTCTCAATTCTTAGGAAGTGGAAGAGAAGGACAAATCTTTTGCATTCTGCTAAATTCTATCAACTGTCCTCCCATTGTGATCCTTAAAGCCTACTGCAAGTACTGTGCTACCTTGGACTAAGTTTTCACATAAACTGGAATGACTAGAGCTCATTGTTTGGAAATTTGCTGTACAAAGTGAAAACGCAGGATTTTAGACTCCTTTTTGGTATAGTCTTCTGTAATTACTCTTAGTATATTTGCTTTAAAAACTGCTGGGTTTGCTTACGTAGTAGCCTAGCAACTATAAAATCTGACCAGTTTGAAAGCCTTTTGAGAAAACATTCTGTGTATTTCTTACTGATAGAATGCCTGAAGAAACTTTGCCAGTCCCTTTGATTTCACCTTTTCTCTGTGGTGCATTTATTATGAAGTACTGCCCATTGTCAGCAAGTGACTCATCAGCCCTCATGTGTCTGTATCTTTTGGGCTTAAATTTTAGCCTTGCTCCACTATGCAATTCTATTATAAATAAATGTTACAGCGTAAAGGTGGGCTAGAAAAGCTTTTTGTTCTTTTTTGGTTTTGATGAAGTCACACTGATCAAGGAGCCAATGCTGGTTTTTTAAGTGTTGCAGACTGATTCTGCAGAACAGTCTGTGATAGAGGTCTTTCCCACTTTTTAAATATGTATGTAAATTTGCTGGTATTCTGCAAACGCACAGAGACCTTAGGGTGTTAACAGTCTTATCAGCTCAGGACATCTAACTTCTTATTTGTTAAATGCCTTCTAAGATTTTAAAATGATTCCAAGTCCTATCTCCTTACTTCTGTTTGGGTTTTGGTTTTGTTTTTTAATGCAGGAAATTGCTGACAAAGATGGAAACAACAAAGTTTTATCTTTCACCATCCCTTCATTATCGAAACCCTCAATATATCATGAGGTAAGAAAGCTGCTGTGGTAAATTAGAATTGGATCTATTAGAGGAATGAAAACTGGATCCATTAGATGCAACAGGCCATTTTAGATGCATCTTGTAGCAGTAAGTTTTCAATGTCAGTACCTTGCAATTAGTGTAATCGAATTCAGTAGCATTAGTAGAAGAAAAGGAATGTAGATGTTGAAAAATCTTTGCTGATAGTGCCCATTTTGAACAGAGGTTAGTTGTGTTGTAGTTGCAACTGTGGTTTTTTTGCCTCTTAAGTGTTGGTATAAAATGAGTCTTCCTTCTTCTAACTCCTCCTTAATACAGTTTGAACTTGGAATCTTTTTCTTTCTCCACTGTTACTGTACAAAAGGTCTATGCAATTAGGATAAACTTACTATAAATGGATATGTAAGAATCAAAGTTGAAAATTGCTCTCACCTGCTCTATTGCTTGTAAGCATGGAAACTTTGTAATAATGAAATTAGGTAATGTTTTTAGATTTACTGTATTCTGGAATAATCTTCATTTTTACAGATCCCAGGACAAGTGTGTCTTTTGGCTTGGGTGGTTAGGAGTTTTAATGCTTTCAGGGACCTTTTACTTATGGCTTTATTTCTCCCCCCTCCTTCCTTTCTCCTCCCACCACCTACTTCTAGCCCTCTACTATTGGATCCATGGCTTTAACTGAAGGAGCTCTATGTCAGCATGATCTCATCAGGGTAGTTTACAGTGATCTTCATCCTCAAAGAGAAACCTTCACAGCACAGAACCGGTAGGTGGCTGTATTCTAACATTAGAGGTGCTTCACTAGGCAGACAACAAGTCCTTAAACATTAAGACCAAATATACTATGTGTTCAGTCCTTTCTCAACATTAAGTGCTTGGAAATAAATCTAGAGAACAGTCTTGGTAATCTTGAGGTATAGTATTTTTGTTGTTAGTTCCAACTTCGTATGTTCCTCTACTAGTTAATTTAGAAGAGAGTAACTTCTCTGTCATTTCTGTGTCAATCAGGAATATCTTTGGGTTTATGTCTGTCAACTCAAATTTTCCTGGAAGTGTGACAAAATTCAGCTTTGGCTCGGAGGCTGTGACTGCTTTTTCCACAGGAAAAGAGGAATGGAGCTGAGTGGATAGACAGAACTAGGGATGAGAGAAATTGCCCTGCTGTTATAGTGACTGCCAGCTTTACCTGTGTCTAAAGCCAGCTCTGGGAAAACTGATAAAATGATTTTGAATGCATTGCAGACTTGTCCATTTCTATACCTTTGTCTGAATATTATGCCATATGCCATTTCCTCCATAGTTCCTGCATATGCTAATGTTTTTCAGTAATAATAGTTTTAAGTGTTTAATACTGAACCTTTAATAACCTGTTTCAAGTTAGTGAATTATAATGAAAGAGGATTTCAGGATTTGTGTGTTTACTTCTGACACTTTTTTCCTGTGGGAATTTTTTGAGACTGAGTTGTAGAATTCTTGTGTTAAATTCTGATGAAATATTAAGAATTTAAACTATGCAAGGTTTTGCTCTTGTCTCTTTTTTCAGGTTTGAGGTGCTGAGCTTTCTTATGCTGTGCTACAATTCTGCTATTGTCTATATGCCTGCCTCTTCTTACCAATCACTTTGTAGGATGGGTTCCAGGTGAGACACTTGCCTTTGAAATAGTCTTGCAGGGTGCATCTAGACTTCTAAATATTCATCCAGCAAAAAAAAAAATTAATTTACTTGTTGTGTTTAATAACTTAAAATATGTAACTTTTGGTCAGTCCTGCAACTTAATTGGAAATTTGAAGCTGTGCTTGCATACAGATAAAACACGTGCATTATCTTACTACTGCATGGGCTTTCATTCTAGTTATGTAACTTTCTGTTATTTGGAAAGGAAAAAAGGCAATTTGGGGGGAAAAATGAGTTGAAGCTACTCAGACTGATTTGCATTTTTTGGATTTACATATCTTTCAGACATTTTTCAGTATGGTCACCTTAAAAATCCTGTGAGGAATATCACCAGTTTCCTCTACTTCCAAATATTAATGTCTTGCTTCTGAGGATGGTTTATATGAAGTACTTGCACGATGTTCTGGGTTTTAGTGGTTTATTTGGGTTTTTCTTTGGTTTGGTGTTTTTGGTTTGGTGGTTTTTTTTTTTTTTTCTTATTTCCTTCCTTTCTTTTTTCCCTGATAATAACATTCCACTTTCTGGAGAATTCACTACTGTGATTTCTCAAACTCTTATACATGCCTTTTATATAACCTTCTACTTGAATGGTCTTAGAAGTATCTGTTTGGCAAAGATCCCTGCTTTTTGTTCTGAAAAATCGCGAAGTATAGCTGATATTCCCATATGCCTGTATTTACCAGTATTTTTGTCTAAAATGAGATAAATTCTCTCTCCTGCTACCCCAAAACAGAGGAGCCTCTTTAAATGTTTTTTGATTTAGCTTGTTTGCTTCAGCACAATACTACCATGAAAGAAAAGCATTACATGCAATTCAGTTATGTAGCAAAGAAGGATCAGACTAGCTTCCAACAACATACATTCTGTAGTAACACACACATGCAGTTAAGATTATAGCCTGTTTTCTTTCCCGTGATTTCTGATGGGAATGGGTTAATTCTTGGTATGCTTCCATCATCTTCACTTGAGTTGTGGCTATGCAAAATTTGCCAAATATGTTGAATTTTCCTGCATTTGAAAATTAGATCCGTTCTTGGGGTAGAGAAGAGGGACAACATTTATAGGTTTGGGATTTTTTTTTGTTGTTTTTGAAACAGTGCAGCAGTTATATATTAGAGGCCATGTGTTGCTTCCATGATGAAGATTCAGATATTAAAGTTATGAATAAATTATTCTGTTTTTTTACAGAGACTCAGTGCTATGCAGTATATGGGAAGGCAGGCCCCTTTTCAAGGGTCAGAAGTATTTTTTTAGATGGCAGCTGAGAACAATTGTCAAGAATACAGTATCTGTGTTATCCAACTTTAGGTAAAAGGTGATTGCGTGCTGTCATCATACATTAGATGGGAGATGACATAGACGAAGTTGGTTTCAGTTACTGAATTTTGGGGAGAGTCTCCTACTTGGTGGCTGGCAGTAGAGAACATCTTGCCACCCTCATTCTTTAGAAGCTGGTTATGATTTGAAGAAAACAGATGGAGTTAATGGCTATATGGGAATAACACTGGATTATCAGCAAGCCACATCTCAAGGCACTGTTATAAAACAGCTTTAATGGTTTGGAGAACAACATAAGAATGTTCTGTTGTGTACTTATATTTTGAAAAATAAATTTTGAAAATAAACGAAAATCCTTGTGATGTAAAGACATTTGTAGTCCTTGTGGAGTTAACGTTTTGTTACAATGGTGTGTTTTTTCAGGCTGTGTGTGAGTGGATTTCCACGGCAGCATGAGAAACGCTGGAAAGAACACTGTGGCAGAGTGGTGTTAGACCCTGACTTCATGGTGCAGCTGCTCACAGGTGTCTATTACGCCATGTGAGTGGATGGTTTTTTTGTATAAAGAGAAATGTCTGGTTTTACGTGAATTAAAATATAAATGCTAGTTGTTTCATGATGGAAAAAAATAGTTAAACTCATAACACAAGTTTATAACTCAGTGTATTTCCTAATACTTGCTCGCTCAGCCATAATAATTTGAAAATACCTTTGTCAGCATTGAATTAGGTGATGAAGGGCCAGCAGTAGGTGCTGAAGAGAGTTAGGCTTCTGGCTTCATCTTTTCCCAAGTTTCTACTGCCACCAGATAACTTCTGTTCACAAGCATAATGAGCTTGGATGCCAAGATAACCTGGTGAAATGCAGACCTCTTGAATGTCCGTAGCTTCTGAAGTAGCAAAAGTCCATTTCTGATGGAAATTCAGTTCTGCTAAGTAGTGTTAACCTTTACATCTTGACCGCATTTTTTTTATTGTTTAAGCTTGTCCTGATTATGGCATCAACTTTGTCTTGCTTGGAGGTGACAGGGAGCACCTTAGTTTTGTTATACCAACATGACTAATAAAATGCTTTGTCTGTACTTTTAAAAGAAGTGAAGGGGCTGGGGTGTACATACAGTTGATGAACTTTCTACGTAAGCAAAGAAATGAAGAGCTGGATTTGGGCAGAAAAAAGACAAGTTTGAGTTTGTAAGACATGAAAGATAAATATTTTTCTTTACTTTTTAGATATAATGGTCAGTGGGATCTTGGCCAGGAGGTATTGGAGGACATCATTTACAGAGCACAGCTTGAACTCTACTCACAGCCTCTGCTGGTAAGAAACAATCCATTGCAATTTATGGACTTGGTTAAGAGGAGTATGGATGTGATTCTGAAGTGGACTGGTAATGAAAGCATTTGTGGCCATTTACTGCACTCCCAAATGCAAGTGGTTGTTAACAGCCGGTGTTTTCAACATAGCTATTTATACCATGATTTTTCTGCTTGAGTATTAAGCTAGATATTGGGATCTCCTAGGACTCATTTATACTGAAAGCTAGGATTTTCTAATGTATTACAGTTGGATCAAAATGTTTATGTTGTTTTGGCATAAGCTACCGATGAGTGATTCAAAGAAGCTTAACGAAATGGTTCTATGTCATAAGACATTGCTTGCAAAAAAGGTGTTTTCTTTGCTTCTAGACCTTCAGCAGGTCTTAGAATATCCTGTGTGGTTTAACTGATAACACAGTAGAAAAAGCACAACAGGATAGAGCTGAAAGTGAAAAGGAGCTTCATCTCCAGAGTCAATGTCAGATTTTGATTGATCAGTCACGCAAGTCTTAATCTTTACCTTCTTTAGAGGACCAGCAATAGAATGGAGTTCTGATTGTTTGGCTTTTTCAATTTCCACTATACTTGTTGTTCTGATCATAAAAGAGAGAGATGTGAAATGGGGAAAGTGGTGAAACTGGGCTGGATGCAGGTGGATGTGACTGGGGAGGATGAGGAGGCTGACAGAGAGAAAGGAGGAATGGAAGGATTTTATTTTTTGTCAGATGTAGGAATGAGGATCAACATAAGAGGGAAAATTAAGGAGAATAAAGTAAATAGACTATTGTCTCAGTTTCTGCATCAGAATTATGGCTAGAAGCCTTTAGTGCTCTTCTGAACTAACAGCAGTAAAATTTCACTGCTTTTTACATAACGCAGAATGGAGTGGATTGGGAAAAATCATTTTATGTGGCAATCTGAGATCCCTCGCTTCTGCAATAAATGACGTAAAATTAATCTCTTGATGAATTAATATTGGCTGTAAAATTTATCTACGGGCTTTCCAACACTGCTGCATTTTGAATGCTTGGTATGTATTGAATTATTATAGTAGTTGGTTCCTTTTGGAAATGACTCATCGCTCCATCAGATTGAAAGTTTTAAATTAAATATTGAACCTGCTGAATTGGGCCACCCTACCAAACTGCTACATTTAAAAGGTGTGTAGAAGTATCTGGAACTTAATTCAATTGATGATACGACAATTTTCAGTCCTGATTGTTCATTTTTAATCAGTTTGGCCTTAGAGATTACTTCTAATTGTAAGAATCTTCTAGAATGTCTTTGTTTTTTTCCAAAGCTAGTTTTGCCTCTCCATCCCACTGTCTGGTGTCAGTGATGTCATGACATCACCCATTTTCCCCTCTTCCCCAGTTGTCAGGTTTTTCATGCATATGCATCCAGGTACATCTGTAGGGTTTTCTTCTTAATACTCTGATCATTGCCTTGCTTCCTATCTTGTTTTACTGCAATTTTTAAAAAGCAGCTTTAAGAAATTGTCAGTTTTATAAAGATGACCTGCGTGTCCTTGGCCTCATGCTATATATTCAAACAATTTGACTTTTTCAAAGGTTGGAGTCCTTTCACCTCGTTGCATTGTCCAGGAGGTGTGTATAATTTAGCAGCATTATAAAATTCTGTATTTTAAACTTAAAACTACTGGCACCAAGTAGAATGTTGTCTGTGCAGCATCCCAGATAAGTTTCAATTTCAGCTTCTGCCTAGGATTTCCTAACAGCAGCAAGTTCTTTGAAATCCATTTGATATTCAGGCAAACCCCCACATTAGGATTATTTTTAGGTATCTGTACTCAAGCTATTTGTATAATTATGGGAATACCATCAGTCATCATTACAATGAGAAACATCATGGTCCCTGTGTTTGGGTATGTCTCTTGGAGGAATATTTTTGACAATATAGTAGATCCATGCTCTTATTTAAATAGGTTGATATTTCCTGTAGACTTTAAAAAAAAAAAAGAAAAGAAAAAAGCTGAAATAGCAACATCAGAAAGCTGTGAAATATCTGTAACATAGAAGCGGTCTTCTTTCACTGTTACCCAGAGACTGCACTGGAGAGGGCAGGAAGTAATACAAGGGAAAGGCTTTTTCTGGGAAAAGAAAAGTATCTCTGTTAACCAACACGGGGTATTGGTTTCATAGTCATGAAAACTGGGAGTTTCTACAGAGGGAAACTAATCGTCAAGACTTAGTATTACTACCAAGCTAGCCTGGACCTGGGGAGTAGCTCAGTTCCAGTCAATCAGTCTCTTCCTCTGAACACAAGAGTTCTGTGCTTGTTTCAGATGGAAATTCCTGTCTTCAGTGCAGAGGCGCACAAGCTTTCTTAGCCTGGTACACAAGAAGCATGGATCCGCAAGTCCCTGTTGTGACAGCACCTTTATCCAGTGTATTTTATTGATGTACTTTCTGCTTTTGTTGGATGTTCTTTTCATTAGAGCTCCTTTCTGGTAGGCAAGAGTGGATGTGTGGCCTGAAACCAGCCTTCCGTTGTCATCGATAGGTGCAGACTTGGCTTGCCAAGTGTGAATTGTGCTGTTTGTTTGTTTTCCTGCCTGTCAGTGCTGGGTTAGACATAGTGAGCAAGTTTTTTTGCATCCTGAAGGATTGCAGTTTTGTTTTTTTCTGTCAGAGAAGGGCTGTGACTCATTCAAACTGATTGTTTAGATTGTTTCACGGTTTTACTGTTGCATTGATTTTTAGCTCCATATGGTTCTCCTCAGTCCCCAGAAGTACAATTTGTGCTGTTAGAAAGGGCCAGCTGTTAAAAGGTTCAACAAGCAGAAGTGCTCTGTCACTTTTCTGGTCCTGCTGCAGAAGCTTTCTGCTACTAATTTTTAGATTTTAATCCTGTATACTGAGAAAGGTACCTATTCAAAAGAGGGCACAACTCTAGTGAGTAGAAGATGGGAAGGCAAACCATTGTATACTGTTGAACTTGATCTGCTTTGGTTCAGTACAGCAGAAATGAGTTTCCGAAGTCTTTAATGTGATCAAGGACAGGGTGAATGCAGTTTGTACCATTTCGAGAGGATGGCATGGAAAAAGGCCTATGTGTGAATAGGAGAGCAGTTCACAAACAAGTGTTGAGACTGAGAGAATCAGCTAGCAATGGGCAAATCAATGTTGGATAAGTGGAAGGCAGAATGATAAGGAGCATTTCTGTGATGGTGGCAATAATATTTTGTGCTGGTTAGAAGTCAAACAGGAAGGCAGTGGAGAAGATGTTTAATGGGGAGTTACAGGATCACAACAGCAGCTGGAAATCAGGATCAGCTATATGGCAGCCATTCCAGCCCCCCAGGAAGTGAAAAGTCTTTAATTTAGTTAATATCCTGTGATCTGTGGCTTTACTGTTTGAAACAGTTTCATTTCTTCTCATGGTTGCTGGATGGTTTGCCTGTTATAACTTGTAGGAAAGTCACTTTTACTTTATTATAATGTGAATAAACACCTTTAATTCATGGAGCTTTTATGGCATGCCATATGCATTGATACAGTCATTTTGTCAAACGTTATCTGAGATTGTCATAAGACAAAGTTCTGCCAACAGGGTCTGTTCCAGTGGTTTAGTAGATTTCTCACAGTTTGTGTTTTTGTGAATGCTAATGAAAGATGACTTAATTAGTTAAGCAGATTTGGTATATGTGGGCCTTGGGGGTTCAAGGAATTTGTTGGATGTCCCTTACATTTCCAAGGCCTCTGGCAACCTCAGAATATCAAGACAACATTGATGAGGTTTAAAAGTGCATTAATTCTGTCACTAGGTTGAGGGGTACATACGGAAATGTTGCTTACAGCATAAAACTAGGAAGTGCTTGATTGTAATAATGTACTAAAGAGTTGATACTACTCCATTAGCTAGCCACAAGTCTTTATACAATAAACAAAATGCCTGTTCTTAGAAAAAGAACATGGTCTAAAACGAAGAAAAATGTATGTATGCATTGTTAGAAGAGTGGAGTATCTTGCAAAGATGCATATTCTAAAGCAGATCTGTATTTCATTTGAGTGGACAGAACAGTCAACTTCAGTTTTATCTGTGTCTTAAAATAGGGTTTTACATGCCTTTGCCTTGAGCTAACAAGTAGACTACATGTATTTAAGACATGCAGACCACATGTATTTAAATAAATGTGTTTATCTTGCCATACAGTGATCTCTATTCTCTCAAGTTGCAAAACCAAATTTTTTTTGTGATACAAGAGAAAATCCATTAGGAGGCAATATAAAGTTGCTTTTCATAATGCTTCTTGTAAACTGTAGTGGAGAGAATAACCTGCCCAAATTATGGTGGGAACTGTTGCTAGGTAGGATTTTATAGAGATTAGCAAATTACATTTTCCATAGTTGTTTTATTTTAAGTCTAGATGTCTCTGACCCTCTTATTTTATCTACTGACTTCATTAGAGGGGGAGTAAAGAGCATGTAGGAAGTCAGATGTCTGTGAAACATAAGAGATCTATGAATGAAGCTGTGATGTTAAGTTTCAAATGTGTCTAATATTTTTATTGTTGGTTGGTTTTATAAAGTCAGATTTGGGAAAATCAAGGTGTGTTCACTGAATTTTTTTTTTTTTTTTTTAATTTTAAATCACACTTTGTGTGCAGCAACTCTGTTATTGTTGACTATGGCACATGTCATAGAGACCCTGCTTGCTTTCCAAGAGCTGGTACACAAGTTCACTTTTTGAACAATTTACTTGTAAACTAGGAAACATTAGCTGCTTAAAGTAAACCTCTGATCCCACAAAGGCATTTTATGGAAAATTTAAAGAAGCAGTTAAAACATCAAAGCCAAAAGAGGTCATTTGTTCTCCTCAAAGCTGCAAACAAAACTCTGACTTTATAATAGGCTATTACAATAAAAAACTAGATCTAATAAAGATGAATGCATTTTAGTGGTTTAATGCTCATTGCTTAGGTTGCAATTTTGTTTTTAAACTTTGCAAGTATCTGCAGTCTAATCCCCTTGGTTAGATTGGATTTTGGGGGGTGGTAAGGTATGGGGTCGGGGGTGGTGGTGGAAAGTGGCCCTGTCTCCCCCATGCACAAGGCCATATGCTGCTTGCATTGGCTTGGCCTGTGACTTAGTTTTGTGACATTCTTGTCGTAAAACATAAATGATATTTTCCTTGTCATTTTGCAATCTCTTTTGGATGGAGACCTTCCTGTGTAAGTTGTTACCTCTGTCAGTAGAGGTGGCAAACGTGGAACTAAATAAATTATCTCAAAAAAAAAAAAAAAGGAGAAAATTCAGCTATATTTTTGGGAATAGGTTTGTGGTGGGCTTTTCAATGTAGTTCTCAACTGTAATCTTGGAGATGGGGGCCAACCATCTGGATGGGATCTGGCGTAATTAACAATTCTTGGTTGTTTCCCTTTCTGTATCCAGCAAGAGGTCTAATATTGCCATTAGTGCAATCAAGGACAGTGGTAGTACAGCATTTTACTTCTATCTTAGGTTGCAAATGCCATGAAGAACTCGCTGCCTTTTGATGCTCCTGATGCATCACAAGAAGGCCAGAAAGTACTGAAAGTAGAAGTTACTCCGACAGTGCCGAGGATTTCTCGGACTGCTATTACAACAGCTTCCATCCGTCGTCATCGCTGGAGAAGAGAAGGTGAGCTTTTTCTGCCAAGAGCAAATACTGTAGCGTACTGTATTCATCATCATCACTGTAATCTGGCTTCTGAGTTTGAATGTTTGCAGAACAGTTGGTTGGGGGTTTTTTTGTTTGTTTGTTTTTGAAAAGTTATACTCCATAACAATGTGTAGTATTTTACATCTTCAGAGCACTGCATGAACATGAACATTTGGGGTGTTTGTTTTGTTTTTGATTGAGTGATAACCCATGAGGTAGGCGAGAAAATGGAGAAGCTGGAAAATGTTCAGTAAGACTTCTTTTTTTCTCCATGAAACACATCATAAAATTGTAGGGGTAGAGTTTGGCTTAGAATTTGAGTTTTTTCTTTAATCCACACTAAAATTCAACTGCCTCCCATCATAAATAGCTCAGGCCATGAATGGTATTATCCAGACCTTGATAGGGTTCCAGCTACCTAAAGCTACTGAAGGCAGTGGGAGAGGGAAAAGCTGAACGTCACACTCCTACCACCATATGGCCCAATTTAGAGAGGGGCCATGTCATAAAATAGCTTTGGATAGCTTAGAATTAGTCCTTATTTTTCCTCAGTGAGTACTTATGTCATATGGAAGTGTACTTGACTGTATGGAAAAAAAAAAAAAAAAGTAGTCATATTTACCTTGATATGATAACATCTTCAGTGTAGGTGTAGCAGAAAGCTTGCTTTGAAATCACTTTGTCATATTTCTAAAGCTTTGTTGCTGCATGTATAAAACATTGATTAAAAAAAGCTGCATAAATGGCTGAAGGTAAAAAGTACAATAACCTAAAAATAAACTGAGAGTAAAAGAGTCTGAAAACAAGGATTACATATTTTCCTGTGGTACTCTTTTTCCGTATCATGTGCAAAAGGATTTGATGATCTCTGGTCTTCAGCTGAATCAGGATGTCCAGGACAACAAGTAGCTTCTGTTTTCAGGACTCTGGGTCATGTGTGTCTTCACTGTAGTTGCCATTATATTCATTTGCTAGTCTCTGGTCTACAGTATAGCCCACGTGTCCCTTTCTGTGGATGTTCTCACAACTTTTAACTAAGCATGGGTAGTGTTTTGTGTTTGTTCCATGTCCGCATAAATCTTCTATTTTCCCTGCCTGGGTTGGAATGCCAAGAAAGGAATAGAAAAGCACTAAAATGTTATATGTTGAATCCCAGATGGCTTTGACTTCTCAAACGAGGCTGACTCAAGCATACCTGGCTCACCGATCCAACACGGCTCCACAGACCTAGGGATCAAACGTGAGCAAGAGGGGGAGGTGCTGATGCGCAGGACCCCTGAGCATGGCTTCCCGGAGCCCACCTTGGCAGCAGCCACAACAGAGGGTAGGACAGAGATGAGGAGGCAGAAGTCAGTGAGGCAGTTGCTGGAGGAGGATCCTGGCTCCCTATCCCCAAGCAGAACTTCTTTCCATTCTAGTGTGTGTTTCCGCTATCCCAGGGTGTATTAGCTTCTCTTTGCAAAACACGCATCCCCTATATACCTAACATCAGGTCAGGTACTACCTTTTGTTATCACGTGGGCTGGCCTGGGGCTTGCATCTGTGTGGTGAAAGACTGCTTGGCATGGCAAAAAAAAAAAAAAAAAAAGACAGGGGTAATAGCCTAGAGCTTTGGGATTGCTTGGAAACTTTCTATTACTGAGCATGTTTAATCTAATATTCAGAAGGAAAAAATGCACCAGATGAACATTAATGTAGTCCTGAAAAATAGACAGTATAGAGTATAAATGAATTTGGTTACAACTTAGTTATAATAGTGTCTTGTTAGTCTGCAGTTTTTAAATTTCCAAGAACGAAGTTTCCTGTTTCCATTAAAAGTCAAGCCTATCTAAGACAGATATACAACTGCTAAAGTTTTTTATTTGCCAGTCATCCTTTAATTGAAAATTCATACACATAGAACTCCTTTACGTGAATGAGCTGGCTGCTCTAAAGACAAGTACCAAAAAAGCGCTTGTGTTTTCAAGAAGAAATCGGGTTGTCGTGTTTCTAAAAACTTTAGAAACAAGTATTGTTTTCTTTCTTAGTCATGCTGTCTACACAAATGCTGTAGGACTTCGTATGTCTGTTCTGCATCCAAGAGTAGCAGATAGAGTAGCTGGTAGAAATTTGTTTTATTTAAGTTCATCTATTAATTTTCTCATCTTTACTCCATAAAAGACGTGGTCTTGAGTACTGAATCGGAATCATGATTTCTCCTCAGAGATGAGAATTAATTTCTTGTAAATTTAGCTAAACATATTTTCAAGCGTTCTCCTATGTTAAGTCTTCTTTTCTATCTGAACTTTCCTTTGGTATCTCCAGCCTCTAAGCATATCAGTTGATCATAAATGAGATTTATTTGCACATTTGGATATGAGCCACATGGTTTCAGATTTGTTCTTCTGGAAACACTAATCTGGAGAATTTGGAGATTTAATGTAGTGTTATCACAGAATCCTTACCCTTAATCAGACTTGCTATCAAACAATAATTAAGACATCATGCTTCTGTAGAAGATAGTTGCATAAAAATGTTTAGTGCGGGTTTATAATCTACTCCTTGGTGCATAGTGAATTTGAGCATGCTCAGTAAATGAGTCCTGTCTTCTCCTAAATTCACTTGTTCAGTTGGTCTTATACCATTTTACTAAACTTTGCATGTGCATGACCTGAAGGATATGGAGAAGTCCTCAGCTGCAGAGAACCTTCTGGGAGAGACAGGAAGTGGGAAAGAAGTTGATAAAAATGTGGCCTTCTAGTCTTAATTTGTTTTAAGACATCTATATAATTTGGCATGTTCTTGGATAAGGCATCATTCCACATGCTTTACTTCAATAGAAGTGGGTTGAATACCCTTTACTTCTGTAACATTAGCAATGCATAATTACATGCTGGGGCAAACTGAATTCTGCCAGTTGATAGCATTTGGGAGAAGGCCAAGGAATGAAGTTTGGCTTGATTATCAGTATAGAATTGTGTGTGTATATAGTGGTCTATTATTTTACTGATGCTGATTTCACAGAAAGTTTCAGCTAGCAAATTCCCTCTCATAAATATAATTTTGATATCAAACAATGTAATGAGAGACTGATAATTTCTAGTGACTTTTCATCCTTCAGGTATGGGAAGGATAAACAGAATAAAAGTCACTTTAAAAAGCTGTTTAAAACCCGTTCTTCGGATCAGCGTTTTGACCCAGTAAGTAGAAAAAGGCAGAAGATTTCAAGACTGACTCAGTAATGCCTTACAAGGTATTCTGCTTCTGGGTGGTAGCAGATGTGGTTATGTGCACTATTTTGGGTCAGTGGAGAATGCTGTATCTACATCTACAGGATTAATTATGTACAGGCATAAATAACGAATTCTTTGGGGACAGACTTATTCTGATAAGGAACAGTGAGAGTCCTGAATTGCACTGTAGTGCAATTGATATGATTTCTGTCAGGTTGCACTGTCTCTTTCTCTTCTGGCCTTACAGTAGCAGAGTGCTTGGGAGGAGTAGGTGTTTAGTTTTTGTTTTCTTTTTTAATTGTCTTATTGGTCTATTGGGGGGGAGGGAGGGGGAAGAAAACTTTGACTTCATCCTGTTTTTCCCCCCCAAACAGAGTATGTAAGGACTCGAACATTTTTGATGGTTTCTGAGGGCAGTTTTTAGAGGAAAAATAACATGTATTGTGAAAAGAACATGTGTTTGCTGAATTACTTCAATCCCACTGAGAACTTCTGTAGGTATATGGATCTGACTAGACAGAAATTCTCTTGCACGTTGTCTTCTCTATCTTCTTTATTTTTGAGCACTGCTGAGCTGCTTGGGCCTCTGTATAGTTGCAGGATCCAAAAGCTTGCAACAACCCCTCTCAGTCTTGTCTTTAAATTCTGTGGATAAAATGCCACTTTTTCAGTGTGACTCTTCTGCTTCACTGTCCTTGAATAGGAATGTCTGGTTTAGCATCCTGTTATTCGACAATGTTTTAACGTAAACTTTGAAGACGACTAATGTTCTTGTAATAATAAAAAGCTTAGCAGTATTGTCTGGAGATACCTACTTGCAAATTACACATCTTTCGTTTGAGTAAGAAGGGCTTGAGAGGGGACTTCAGCTGCTGCTATTGCTGCTTGTAACCAAACACGCTTTCATCCAGCTTTGCATGATTATATAAAGAAACATAAATGTTGGTTTACTGAAAAAGTGCTCTTGCTTTCAGTATGTTCCAGTTATGTCATATTTTTATTAGCATCTTTGATTATGTGGGGGAAGGGGGGGGGAATGGAGATGTGGTGGATTGTAAATAAAATATATCTCTGTCTAATGTAAGAAAATACACTTATGTCTCAATGAGAAGATGAAGGCCTAGTTTGACCAAACAGTGTGGGCAGGAGTGGGGGAAAGTATATGTATTTTAAATATGGTTACAGGAAGTTAAAGCAAGTAACACATCCTTCATTTTAATAATAGCCCTTGAAACCTAAGAAGCTTCTTTTTCTAAGGCTAAAGGCTTTAGCAAGGAAGGAAGACTGCAGTAACATGAACTGTATTACCTTTCTGCTTCTGGGAGGCTAATGAGTCAAATAGAACTATATAAAACTACAGAATAATCTCACATTGCATTGTTCTGAGAGAGGCCTGAGAATGGTCTGATTTGGAGATGGCTAAATGTCTTTTGTAAGCTGATACACAGTAATGGTAATTCCAAGGCAAAGTTTCCTGAAAAGAAGAAGTAAGTTTAAAACAGAATAATAAAACCTCCCTGTAAAGTTTTCTTTTTGCTTTACACTTCAGAAATGTCAAGTTGGATCAGGCTATATTCCTGCTACACAGAGGCAGCAACAACACTGAAAGCTTTGTGTCTGTTCTGCTTGCCATAATGTAAAATGTTCCTTAGTGCTCTGCTAACAGTCAGCATGAAAGGATGAGCTTCTACTCATATGTTAGAATCTCTTAGATCCTTGCCACCACTTTTTCACCATTCCACAAGAGAGATTTAAACACGTTTGCTTGGCGGCAAGCTGGGCTGAACAAACTGCCAGTAGAGCAGTACAGTGGCTTTAGCTGGGACAGATCCATAGGCTTTGCAGATTTCTTGCAAATAATCAGGCTCCACAGCTTTTATAAAGAAAAGCAAAATTCTTATAGCCTGAATGTCTCCTTTTTTGCTAACATGGTTAAACTTTATGGCTTTTTCCCATTGAAACAAGATATATGGAGCAAAAACTCAAGCTCCATTTTCAGTTTTGAAATTTGAATGCTGTTGGGTTTTCTAGTGAAACACTAACTCTTGAGTACTTGGAGCTTAGAAAAAGGAACTGGAATAAGATTTAAAAAAAAAAAAAGTCTTTGTGTGCAGCCCTAATCATATTATAGGCCTGAAAACAAGGATTTAAGAAAGACATTTGTCAGGCTTTTTTTTCTCTTTGACATTCCAGTCAAAAGCACAGTGCCTCTTCTACAACATGAAGTGTTTCAGAGGTTAAATTTCTCTTAATACAAGGGTTGTTTTTTTTTTTTCTCTGAAAAATCTAGATGCTGAGATAAAAGCAAATATGGTGGAAGCACCTAGATAGGATTGCTGGAAATGCAGGGAGGATTGAGCCCTGGAGGAGAGGGAACTAGGAATTAGGTTAATCTCCAACAGAAAGTATAATCACATTGTTTGAAGTGCCGGCTACACACAACAGAAGCCTTCTACCTCTGTTGGAGCATTGTGATTGCTGGCCTAGGAAGTAGCCTAACTCTGAAGCTTACTGAGCACTCGCCAGAACTTACTCTGACTGGAAGAGATCCTGAACATGCTTAGATCTTGCCTCAAAATAGGATAAAAATAGTCTGAAAGGCTTTGCTTTTTTTTTAACCACATGTAGGAGGAGAATGGGCACCAGTATCTTCAGGCAGAACTAAAACAAATTAACCAAATTCTTGTTCATAGACAAAGTTTGGGAGGTACTCTGACTGATAAAAGTGAGGTAGAGGAAAGGCAAATCAAGCTCAGGGAGTACTTACGCTAGATTCCGTTATTCTGCTAAATATGACAGGAAGATTATTGGCTGAGAATCAGAAATTTTAAAGCAGGTGGAAAGCAGGTGGATTAGCAAATGAGGTTTGTTTTGACATTCTCTGCCCATCTTTGTCTTCATGTAACTTGAATGTTTACTGTGTGTTCTGATTGGTTCGGGGTTTTTTTGGTTGTTTCTTTTTTCTTAATAGATGCTGAAGGTGTAAATGGAAGAGAGGAATCCGTGAACCTTAATGATGCTGATGAAGGATTTTCATCAGGAGCTTCCCTCAGCAGCCAGCCAGTTGGGACCAAACCTCTATCATCTGTATCCCAAAAGGGCAGCTTAAGGAAAACAGCAAGTGGGCGTTCTGCTAAGGATAAGGAAACCTCTTCTGCAGCAAAATCCAATGAGAGCCCTCGAGATTCAGTAGCTCGGAAGCAGTACATGCACCAATCCACTGACCTTGGTGCAGATATAATTGAGATGACACCTACTAAGAAACACCTCAGCCTGCCTGCTGGGCAGGTGGTGCCAAAAGCCAACAGTTTGAGCCTGATCAGGACCGCCAGTGCTTCCTCCAGTAAATCATTTGACTATGTGAATGGCAGTCAAGCAGGCTCCAGCGTTGGAGCTGGTACAGAGGGTGTTACTAATCTAGCAGCTGGCAACACCAATCGGTTTTCAACTATCAGCCTACAGGAGGACCGACTAGGCCAAGCTGGGGAAGGTAAAGATCTCCTTCCCCCAGGAGCTCCCCTAACCAAGCAGTCTCGATCTCCAAGTTTCAATATGCAGCTGATATCCCAGGTGTAACTTTGACTCCCTTCCTTAGGACTCCCTCTTTCCCCTTAATCCCCAGGCAAGTTCGTCCTTAGGCAAAACATGAACCATCATCCCGCAGTGTGAAAATACTGACTGTTGTGATCTTGTTTGATTTGGTTTAGCTATCATACTGTATTACTGAAACAGCAATAATTCTTCCCTTACCTTCATCCCCCCCCCCCTTGTAAATATGGTTGTGAAGCAGTATATAATGTACTGTATGCCTTTTTCCATGCCTTCCTTTCTCCTTGGGTGATGTGCAATCCATCGTAGGCTGATCAGTCCCATTTCAACACTGTGAGACTGGAGACACCGGCGGAAATGGTGAATGTGATCCCTATGAGATGATGCTTTGGCTTTGTTAAGAAATAGAAACGGGTTTGTTTTCTCGGTCTACAGTACTGCAAAGACTACTGGATCATGACTTTTCTTTCTCAGAACCAGGAGTGCCTCAGAGATTCTAGTGTGACTTTGGACCTCTCTGAGTCTGTGCAATCAATTCTGGGGAGGGGATTGTCATTGCTGCTCCTGGCTGCCTACAGCACTTTTTTCATTAAAATGAGGGTATGTTTTTCTTGCCTGCCCCCAGTCTTTCATCCCAAAAGCTTTTGATGTTCAGCAAGTGAGACATGCATATTACCAAGTTGTTTTCCCTCAGAGAGAGGATTCTAAGTAGATAATGTAGGTTACAATGCACTTCTAATGGCGTTGTAGCCATATGTAATGTTACATGTCTTCCCCTCCAGGGCACAGGGTCATTCTGCATATAGACTAAAATTTAAACAACACCATGCTGTTAAAGCAATTTGGTTTGTAAGTGGGAGGGAAACACTACTTTCCCAGGAACTAATGGCTAGCTCTGCTCCATTTTTGTTGTTGTTCTTGTGAGGTGCTGATCACTGAATTGAAAGGTGTATTTGGGTAAAGAGTATTTCTCAGGCTGCTTTCTATGGTATCATGGCTGTTGGACTCCTCCGCCCTTCCCAGCTGCTTTCTCAGTGTCCCTGAATTCAGTCATGGAGTCATTTGAAGAATCCTGCAGTCCAGGCAGACCATACTCTTAAGGGGCTGTCTCAGGGATAGAGACAATAGTTTGCTAGAAACACTGAAGCTTCAATGTGAAATGCTTTTCTAGAAACACCGTTTGCGCAAAGGGGTACTGACAGTCCTTTTTTCCCCAGAAGGATCATACTTCATTGCCTTGGTATTTATAATCTGTTTAGTTTTTTTAACTCTTCTTTTAGTGGATTGGCCCTACTCTAGAAAATTCGGAATTCATGCCATTGAGCCAAGCCTTGAATGTATATGACTGGTGTATGGGCACTGGCTGGTACTTACGCTAGAGAACACTGCTTAGAAGCACATTTCTGGTTACACAGGAAAATGTTTGTCATTCTCTCTCCTTCTCTATCTCATTTTGGATTGATAGAGAGAAAAGGGGAAAGTTCATCCTCTATGCTTGTCATGTATGATATCCTGGAAGTTTACAAATTGTAAACCTACAGGAAAGAGTTACGATCTTTATGTGGGCACTTTGGTTTCACTGTCACTGTGAAGGATAAACATAAGCAGTGACAAATAGCAGGCTATCTTTGAATTATAGTCTTTAAGAAATTCAGGACAATGACATGGTGTTGCATTGCTGGTACTTGGTTTTGGTTTTTGGGTGTTTGGGTTTTTTTTGCTTTTGAATCTCTTTATTTCAAATAGAACTTTTTTTTCAAATTTATGTCAAAATTCATTTAAATATTTGAAGGTTTTTTTGTGGTTTGACAAGTCGCTTGGGTAGTCTAGTCTTCATATCTTACATTCATAAAGTGAATTAATCGGCATCTGGACTGATGCAGAAATTCAGTTAAAGAGTAAATAGAATCATCAGAAAGAAAGAAAACCTTACAGTTTCTAAATTGAAGTTAATCTTTAAGGACCACCAGTCACACACAGATGGAACTAAGGCAAAGTTGAGATTAAGCTATGAGGCATTTTCTGTAAAAATGTCAAAAGCTGTGTATGGTTAAACTTTTCTTTATTTTATAAAGTTTTGCTAGTGGAGACAATTGGTAAGTCGTGGCTGAAGGTACAAAGTTTATATTTTGTAGAGACCATCACAAAGGAAATTCTATTAAAGAGCCATCACTGTAAATTGAAAAGGACCAAATAATTTGTGTAAATCTTTGGGAAAGAGAAGGTCAGGAGTGTCAGATAATTTTTTAAGAATTACTTTATTTCAGTATTTTAAAAAGTAGAGTTGTTCATTAACAAGGTTCTCTACTTTCTGCATTTGCCATTATAGGCATTTCTTGGGAAGTTTTAGGACACTTAAATTGGCATCAGGCCAAATTTTACAAACTTTTTTTTTTTAAATATTCTTATGTGTAGAGTCCCACACTATTAAACTATTTCAGGAAGGTGAGGCAGCTCGGTGACTTCAGATAGGGAAGTCAAATGTACGTGCATAAATTCGAATTGGTTAAAACTTTAGTCAAACTACCTTTTAAGATATTTTTACAGTTCTCATTTTGATGATGTGCCTTTTGTTATCGTTTCATCCATTGTATTTTGGTTTATTCTTGTGTATATATATCTACCCCATATAAGGCTTTTTAAAGAGTTCAAATTTATCCCTGTAAAAAATCTTTTTTGCTATGTGCTGTTGTGGTACATCTATAACTTCTCAAAATTACCTTTTTAGTGCAATGTTTCAGTTGTGGGAGCTTGTTTTGTCGTTTTTCAGACAAGTACTGTTCAACATCTATCTTACAAAATGAGTCATCACTAGTATCTACAAAACAGCTGTAATAACAGGCTTTGCCAGTGCTGTGTATCATGTTTATCATTAATGCTTCTAGATGTGTCTCAAACTATGCCAAGGTGTGTTAAGATCATATGCAACTTTATACACTGAAGTTCAGTACACTTTGAAGTAGTGTGGCAGAAATAAAATTAGAAGTGTCTGGGATATGGGTTGAGGGAATAATCTACTGGCTTTCTGATTATATATGCTAAGTACTAAACAAAGTACAAAACATACTTAAATTTTCTGACACCTGTGACGAATATTTAGACTTAAATCTCTTTATCCTGACACGCTCTGCTGTGTCTTGTTTTAGAACATTTGGTACTTGACATGAGGCACTAGATTTAGATTTCTGCAGTATTTCAGTGCAACTGCAGCATTATAAAAGAAGGTCAAAAAGCAGAACACGGCGATTTTTCCCTGTGTATGTGCACATGCACGCACATACATGTAATTCTTAGGTGAGGAAGTGTGGGTACTATATTTTGATGTATATATACATGTAAGTAGGGATAAATGAATTATTCCTTGATACAATTTTTACCACATCACAGTATGCTGCCATTTTGCAACTCATTTTTGTTGGGCTTTATAATTTTAGAGGAAAATATAAAATGTTGGGATTGCTAACTCCAGCTTGATTATCCTTTTCAGGGGTTTATTGTGAGCAGCTTTTTGGTTGAATGATGAGCCATTTTTTCATCCTGCAGGCAGCAAAGTGATGAAGTAAAAATACCTATTAAAATGAATGTTGCAAGATGACAGTTTAAATTGCTATATTATCCTTTTAGTTTTCATTTGGAGACTTCGTATGTCACTGTCCATTTTAAATGCAGATTTCTTTGAACACCCTTTCTGATGTGAATTTGGAAAAGTTTTTTAACAGCATACTTCGTTCTGTAATGCTGAACATCATGTTGCAGCCAGTAAGCATTAGATCTAGTATTTGTAGTTTGCAAGTGTGTTGGTCTTAAATACAACGTTTCCAACATACTCCTGCTAGCTTTAACATAATTAAAATTATCTGTTTTAACATCAAAATAGTGAGAAAAAAAAATGTTTTCTGACAAAGTATTTATTTGCACTACTTATGAATACTGGAGTTTACTGGGACAGGGTTTTTTCTCACCATGTGAGGTTTACTTGTGTGTGGGTAGGTACATACATTTGTCACGTGTTGACAATCAATTGCCTCAACTGTGTGTATACTGTATGTAAATATGAACATATTTTTCAAGATTAAGGGGGGAACCTGCATCTTAATGGTGGTAAAGCTACTCTGTAGTAAGGTGACCCCAACTCTAACCCCTTTTTGTCTCCAGATACTATGTGGTTTGTTTTACTTCTTTAATGAAGGTTATTAGTGTTGGAAAATTTTAGCTCCAGGGAAATTTTCCTCAATATTTAATGTATAACATGTTCAGAGAATTATATTTTGAAAAATTAATTTTGGAATAGATAATTTTATGCTATGGCTGTATTTTAACCTAAGAGTTTAAACTTGTCCTATTTTATCATGAACCAATGGCTATCTCTTTTAAGTGTTCAGCATTTTAACTTTGGTCACAAACCAGAAATTTTTGTTTATCTTGGCTTACAAATTTAAATTAATTTGAAGACTAAGTGAGAACCAAGAATAACTTTTTGAGTAAAATCATAAAAATCAAGCAGTATAGACTAGGTACTGTACTCATAATCCTGGAGGAGGTGTGGAAAATATAATGGAACATGTTTGAATGAAATGTATGTACTGCACACAAAACAAAAATATTTCTGATGTTAGTAAATCTAATAATCTCATCCTTAAATTCTGCAATTCTCTCATTGCCAAAGGTATTGCTACCTTGGCATATTTAATATGGCATTAAAGCCATTAGCTAGGTATCATTTGTAACAACAGTTTACATCATAGGAATAGTTTGCATCAGAAGACTAAACATGCCCCTTTTAAAAATTTATTTAAATGTCTTGTTTAGGATAATTGCAGCACTAAAGTTGCAAAATACCACTCCTTTCCAAGCATGATAAGCAAAGAAGCCAGATCCTCTGTACTTGTATTGCATTCTTGGTTTATATCCAATTGTTCAATATTTTATATTTTCTTCAGTATTTTAAATGCTGTTTATTTCTAGCATATGGGCCTTAATCTCTCTTGATTATTTTTTAGTTTGTTTTCCCACTGGCACTCGGATAAACTTTGCTGTGGAAAGCTTTTCTGTAGGTGATTCAGGGTAACAGATCACAACAAGGGTGTTGTGTTAGTGAATACATGTATCAGTCTTTCAAAATTTGCATGTCATGACCAGCTGAAGAGCCAAAATACTCAGCTGCCTCTTACGCAGTGGTGGAAGACGATGGAGAGCTGTGAGCAACTTGGTTTGTCACTAGTTCCTGAAAACAAGCAGTAAGTGGATTTTGCAAGACTGATATGTATGAGGATTTCCACATAGTCATTATGAAATTTTAAAATAAGACAAATCTTGGAACAAGATTTCAAAATATAACAGCTAGCCATTTCAGATAAACTTGCCTAGTAAGTTTGGCAAGGGTCGAGGCCTGTGACATTAAAAGTTCAGAAGCACGCTGTAGAAGTCTAAGGGTACCTTACAGCTTCCAGAAATGGATTTAGTAAAAATCTGTCCCATGTTATTTGTCTGTATTCGAGGTTTAATGAAAAAATTACTATTTTTGCTTGCATTCCTTTTATTTATTTTTCTCTAGGCTACCCCCTCCCCTGATTGATTTTTTTTTTTTTTTTTTTTTTACTGTGTTCATCAGATTTTACCAAAGGCAGTATCTGAGGGACCAAATGAATTTAAAATGGGTCCATAAATTATCCCTCCTATCACAAAGAATTACTAAGCTATTCCTGTGAGGAGCTGTTGATGGGAACAGATGTATAGTAAAACTTTGTGTCTGTACAGTAAAACCTTGCCCTACATTTTAGCTTGTGCATGATGAGCAAAGTGATGAGATCAAGTTTTATTAACCGATTACTTGGTCGTGAGCTCCCAGTGTTTTACAGTTGGTGAGGTGTAAGCAATTTAGAGTGGAGTATCTTTGCATTCTGATAGAACTCTTTAAAGCAATTTAAATTTTGACTCTTGAAAAGATGATTAATCACTCATTAAAATGTGGTAGAGAATTCACACAGATTTTTGATTTTAGAGGGTAAGATGGTCAGGGGAGACTTCTGTTTAGGAGTATCGCCTAGTAAAGTGACTCTATGGTGCTTTGTCATGGAAACTTCCTCACAAATCGGTAGCGGATCCTGTGTGTTTGAGTCCTCGTCCTCCCCAGAACTGATCACAAAACAGAAAAAATAGTATGAAGGAAGCAACCTTTTACCTTTTGTTCTAAAATAAGGAGGACTTGGGAGTGACAAAAATACTGGCTATTGACACTGTTCTTTCTGTTCAGGCAGTTATTATTGTTGTGCTAGACTTCCATGTTATTAGTTTATGAAAAATGCAAGTAGTAAAAACTTTGTGGCTTCAAGTATACAGTAGATGTGAGTTAACAATCACTCAGGATAAACCAACTTGTCCAAGTAGTAATAGCTTCCTAGTACTGGGGTGTGTCTGTGTGTTTTTGTGTGCCAGTGTTCAATGGTTACTTTGAAACAAGACTTCTTACTGTTTTCTTGCAGATAGTGAATGCTTCGGGGATGGATATTACTAGCTGGTTATTTATGGAAAAACACCATATGATTAAATGAAATTGAGTCATTTAACATTTTTTCCATATCGAAGATTCCAGGAAAAAGCTAATAAAGATTTTTAATAATTAAATCAGATACTCTTAATACATTTTAGATTTACTATGGTAGCTTTTATTTGTTATGAAAAAAACCCAACGACTAAATTGAGGTACCCCATGCTGCATTTTTTAAATTTGTAGTTCCTGTACTTTACAATAAATCTTTTGATCTGTTTTCGTCCTTGTAAGAATACAGGATATGCTGTCAATTTTACTAGCAAAAAGAAACGTTCCGCAAGGGTTAAAAGATTATTTTCTTACTTTTTTCTGTCATACCAGGTTTGTTTCTCTGAACTAAGGTTTCTGAGGATTTTTACTACTTTAGCATTATGAAATCTTATCTCTGTCGTAGAAGGAGCATAAGCAGCAAGCGTCCCACTTCTTGTGGACGAACAGGCTAGGCGAAAGGACATGGGTTGGTGGTGAGCCTCTCTTCACCAGGATAGCCCCGCGTCCTGGTATGAACCCCAGACGTTCAAGATTCGGTACTGGTGAAGGACAAAACCGAACGGGTTTTTAATAACCGCGACCTCTGCTGTATGATGTCCTTTAACCCGGGACCAGGGAAAATCTTCATTCTTAGGCTTGAAGATGGCACGTATTGAAGATCATTTATTGGTGCATGTAAGCCATTATCTTAACTGTCTTACTGAGCTGGTTGATGCTGTTGACTGTTGTTGAAATGTGAAATGTAGTTACTATTGACTTTGTAAATACCTGCCAGAGATGAAATATAATTATTTTAAATCACTGTAAATAGAGATGTATAAAACTCGACACAATCTGCAATGCAGAAAAAAATTATATATATATAAATATATAAAGATGTTAAATAAATATTGTGCTGTTTCTGAACAGAAATGTGTACTTTGTGAATTGCCTTTTTTTTTTTTTAACTTTGATTTACGTCGATGGGGTGTCTAATGCGGGGTACATCTCCAGGGTTTCATAGCTCAGACACCGACAAACACGCGAGCGCGTGGGGGGAGAGGCGGAAAGCACCCACCGGGGGCTGCGCGCCAGTTCCTCGTAGCTGCCGTCAG